TACTCCAACTCCAAGCACAGCAGCTACACCATCCCCAGTGACGAGCACAGCCACTGCTCAAACCCTGACCACAGCAGACAATGCAGCTACTCCAACTCCAAGTACAGCAGCTACACCAACCCCAGTGGCAAGCACAGCAGCTACTCAAACCCCGACAGCAACAGACAATGCAGCTACTCCAAGCACCACAGCTATGCCAACTCCAGCAACAAGTACAGCAGCTACTCAAACCCGGACAGCAACAGTCAACGCAGCTGTTGGCATTACTCAACCCCCAAGTACAGCAGCTGCACCAACCCTGGCAACAGATGCTGCAGCCACTCCAACCACACCAAACGTTTGTTTGAACACAAAGTGATGTGGTCCTGCTGCCTCATAATATAAAATGGGCAGCGACACTTTTTCCAAAAACATCCTCGCCAGTGCTTGGTGCAACAAAGACACCCATCTGCTGTTGCTGCTGCCCTAGGTATTCAAAGCAAGAGTCCAGCCTGTGGGCTCATGTTCACTTGGAGATGGTTGCCCTGTACAAGGACACAATGGAAGAGGCGTAGAGGATGATCAACAGGGCATGCACTCATTCTGCTGATCTCCGAAGGTGTCCGCCTACTATCAGTGAAGAAAGAGATGCATCTCTATAGGGTGATTATGATGCTCAGTGGTCTCTCTTCATTGTCTGGAGATGGAGAACAGGGCAACAGCACTCTGAATTTTGGTGCTATGGTCAGTGACCTGGATAAAACCAGGTTTAGGGGCAGAGATATCAACAGTTGTGCAGGCTGAGACACAGATTATTCCTGAAGCCTGTTATTCAAAAGTGATAAAATGCTAATAAGCTGTTTGAAAGACAGAGCATAACACAACCATAAGATTCACCTAGCTTACAGTTGCACACAGTGTTTAAATGAATTTATGACATTTTATGATTGATGATGTTCTCATTACAGCGTCATGTCTTCTGTAATGTTAACAGTTCATTAAGCCTGGCAAAATGTGATCTCACAAATGAACCTTATCCTGAGGTATGTGGAGCATTTCAATCTCCAGTTCCCCAGTTTTTGCTGGTCTCTTCAAATATAGGAAATTTTACAAAAAATACTAATCCAAGTAAGGAAAAAGCAATTTTCACTAAACATATGAGTCTTTCAGTATATAAAGTTTAAGGCATGAATAATTTATTCACTCTCACTACATCTTTTTCACATACTGAATGTTCCATATCGAAGTGTTAAACAGCTGAGAAACACACAGCTGAATAAATCAGGAAATTGTTCTGCCCTCCCTTTTTCAAGCAGTGTGATTTTTATTCATTCAGAAAGTAAACAAGGTCAGAGGAGTTCATCATAGTTGTCAACCAGCACTGCAGTATAATAATCTTTTTTATAAGCCAGTTCCTCAATTGATTGTAAAACAGCATAGTCCTTTTGTTCACAGATAAACATCTGGTATTCTATGTGTAAAACATTATCCTGCTGTCAAATCAACTATTGCATTAGATTAAACTACAAAATGTAACCTTTTTTTTAACTATTACGTGATGTGAGCAAAGCTTAAATAGGTTTAAGTGCCTGAACACTAGGTGTTTGCACTGGTAGCATTAACTGGCTTTTAAAAACAAATTTCTTTAGCCATTTTCCTAATACAGAATAGTGATTCCTTTTCAACTGTTCATAGGTTAGGGAGCAATCAAGAGTTAACCACTGATTTTTTTTTAAGTCAGTGGAAAAACTTCCACTGGCTTTGGCTGAGCCAACATCTCACTTTTATGTAATATGTGAAGCCCCCTGCCCATTTTCTGAATTGTAGCCTAATTCCAATGAAATACTTAATTTTGTATTTAACTTCAGTCCCATTAGCTGATAGGACTAGGCAGCTGTTTTAAATTAAAAAGGTCCTTAATTATATTGCTGAATCAATATGTCTTCAAGTAACAAGTGCATGTAACTACTACTAAGGAAAAGCTAGGAATAAATGCTTTTGAACCTGACTTCCCCAAATACTTACCAAGACTTGGTAAAAAGAAAATTGTTATTAAAGGGGGATTATATTGTTACCTGAAGAGTTAGGTAATCAGCTAAAATCTGGAGAGGATGGTATAAATCGGACAATCCATTGATTATTGGGATAGTGGCTTGTTTCGTCATTAGGTCCAGATCATTATGCTTATAAACTCGAGCCAAGATTGCATTTGTCATGCTGGAAAGCACCCTGGAGGATGGCAGAAAATACCCAAGTCAAACATAGTAAGTACAGCCCTGCTGCACTCTTCAGCATGCAACACATCAATATTAATGAGAAGTGGTAATGAATCACATTATTTTCAGCTATCTGAATAATTTATCATGTCTGCATAACACACTTAATGCAGACATTTAATAAACTGCTAATAAGTAAGCAGGTCTACTTATTAACAAACTATAGTAAGTAAATGAAAACTGCTGCTCTATTTAATGTTTTCTTCTCTTTAGCATTTAATTGTAGCTACAGACATAGCATTAATAAATATTAAGGTGTCTAAACTAAGATATGATACATGTGGTATCAGTGTTAAAGTAATGCCCAAATTTGAAATTCAGTATACAGGTAGGGGCATGACGGAGTCACTATACCACTCTGGCCTTAACCTCGTTTTGCCAAAGTGTGAAAGACTGAGAGATTAGCATAGTATACTCAGTGAGCTCTGAATTCTTTAGAGAAATTAAATATGGATTGGAGCTCTGCAATTCTCTGCATTTGTGTGTTTTAATCAGGCCCTGAAGCCTGACTTTGAAGTAGCATTTTGCGTGTTTTCATGTTATTTCTAATAGGACCTTAAAACAAAACAAGGAAGAGACTGAGTAGAAGAGTATGCAAAATCCTTGTGGTATCTATCTTCGTGATTAGCTGTGAGGAATTCTGGCATCTTCTCTTGCGGAAATATGGCTGTTAATGCCATGGCCTTTACACAGACAAATCTCCTGATGAAGTCAGTAACGAATATTTTCTACCGACACCAGACATTCCTCACACAAGCAAAACTCTAATAAAATGTTACAAGATTCCCTGTAGAGCTCTCTTGGAAGAAAAGACTATAGCAGCTTATAGTGAAAAAGAGCTATCAGTGAAAAGGAGGAACCGAACAGTACTTATTGATTGCAAGGTATTGGGACAGCTGCTGTTTGTGCCATTATTTCCTCTTAGCTCATGAGTTTCTTTTTCTCTGAATGTGTGTTTATTCTAGCTTGAAGCATGTGACTGTGGAAAATCTGTTCTGCTCTAAACTAGTCATCAGGAATGGGATGCATGTTTCCTTTTGTCAGCCATCTAACAGGTGCCCACCCTAAGCAAGACATAGCCTGTCCCACCAGGCAAGGAAAAGTGGCAATCACACTGGGAAACTGACCATTTTTCTTAGACTCTTTTTATTTTTTTTCCTAGGATGCCACAACAACTGATTCTAACCCAATATGACCAATAAAGAATTTAGAGAAGATGGTTCCTTTACAGGATGTGCCATTAGAGGAAATTCAGTCCTAATCAATTACCAACTAGTAAAAACTTCTGGATTTTCTTTCTTATTCTGTTGAAAGTAGATACTAGACTTATTAAACACGTACCAGCAAGACACCAGACTGCCAGAATTTCTAGATGTCATATCTTATAGTAGGAAAACCAGGTGGAAACCAGGTTTATTCTTTGTGAAATCAAAAACAAACTGAAGTCAGAAAAAAAACCCAAACCAAAACCTCATCTCAGGAGATGAAGTCCTCTGTAATCAGCTCAATTTAAAGGAAACCATGCAAGGCTGGGATTGCATGGGAAGAGAGACCTGGCTAGATAAGAGTCTTTAGTAAAGGTGAAGTTTTGGAAGGTGAGGGGGAGTAAGCACAGGCTCATCAGGTGACTTTTCATTTAAGGTTCCTATATTTTCACCAACTACAAGGTCTTTTTCTCTTTTCATTCTTTTTGCAAGACTGTGAGCCTATAAATTTCAAAATCCCAGAGGCTGGAAATGTATAAGTGTATTAGAATTCTGCATATCTCTCTTTCCAAAATTATTCTTATTTCTACAGAGAAAAGCTGGAATTTTTTACTGAAGTGTATCCTTTGAGGAATCCAAAATTAAACACAAGTAAAAGTATGCTTTTTTGGTGTGGCTGATCTCTGAATTTGAAAATGGGGCATTTGAATATATTTTGGGTAGAATATTGCTATCCAAGGTAGCTTTGGTTTTGTTGTGAAAGTACCGAGGTTTTTAATTTGTGACAAGACATTGCCGTTCATGGTCTTACAGGGGTATATGGTGGATGTATTCTCAGTAAACAGTGAGAAGTAAAACCATTCCCCACAGATGCAGAGATACATCCCCTAATAGTGCCAGTGGACTGGTAAAATCATCCTAAGAGTTCTTCACTGCTGCCACTGAACCTTATGGCCCCTGAGCTATAGTGGTACACAATGGAACTGCTCTACAGTGGAAAATACAGATACAGTACTTATATTTCATTTCACATAATATATCAGACATGCTAAACAGCACTGAAAGGCTTAGAGCTTCTTTATGGGCGGTAACTTTTTGCTACTGTGTCAGCGTAAATGTAAATGTCTTGTGAAGCATGGAAGGACTGATTTATAAGCAGGTAATAAGTCACTAAAGGTATGTTCACAGCAGAAATTCTTTCAACCCTTACCTGCAGCAATTCTAATAAAACCTGTGACTTTTATAGATCTGTGCCCCTTTTGCTTTAAGTCTCAGTTTCAAATACTTCTAAGACCTTCAGAGCCTTAAACACATGACTGTAAATATTTGAAATACCCTCTGGGCCTACTACAAGCATTCTTTTTTTTATTCTTACTGTAATTGAATGAAGCTGGGGTGTTATCCTTCAAATACAAGAAACACCAAGGAATTAATATTCAGGTTGTTCTTTTGATTGTGCAAAGTCAATAACAATACTGCCAATGAGAGCAGGAGTGAAGCAGAGCACATGGGGCTCTGTAAGGACTTGGGGAAGCCCTCACTCCACTGTAAGAGACGAGTGCTGTGACTCAGCAGAGGAGCAAAATCCCCCGGTCAGTGTCATAAACAGGGACTTGACCTGGAAGACAGAGAAAAGGGGGGCCAGAGGCCTGCATGGAAAGAGGGAATTGTGGGAGCTTTCTCCACAGAATGGAGACTCCTCTGGAACAGCTGGAAGACTTTCTTGCTTCTGCTTTTTGTCTTATTTCTTGTAGCTTACTGTCTTTCTGATCCAGTGAGAATGGAAGGCAAGATGCTTGGTGAATAATACTTCTTTACATCAGTGTGGGGGATCTACCTTTGACGTGTTTCCCATTCACCTCCTATATGGATCCACCATCCATATAGATGATGGAGTAAGGTAAGTACGTTTGACTCGAAAAGTCCTCCGTCTCTCATGCCAGTAGGGTTGTAGCTGGGATGCATATGCTCTGCAGCATTTAAATGGTACATTTCGATGAAGCTAAAGCTGCCCTGCTTAAACTGTGGGTACGCCCCATGACGCATGAAGAATCGTTTTTGAGGGAATTGTTTTTGTATTTGAATCCCATGGCAGTGTATGAGCTCTGCTGAACTGAACAGAGTGGCCACTGGACAGAGTGGCCTAATGTTCCGCGTTAAATGTCAGATTGATCTGTTCCCTTTGTAGGCCCAAGAGTCTACACATTGTTTGAATCTTTTAAACTTGTAGCTACTAAAGCAAGGCAGTGGGACACACTTTTTTTGAAACTCTGAACACTGCCACTGCAGCTTACTTTGATACTGGCAGAGTTATATATCCAGCAGGGAGTGAGAGCTAAGTACTTTCAAGCCTCAAGAGAAGGAAATTTTGACTTTCTGCTGTCAACACCCACATGTGTTCCACTTCAGCAGTTAAAAGCAAGAAAGGAAAATTTAAAATGTTCAAATGTTTGGTCTTTTCCTTATGTTTTCCTTGGATTTCACCACAGGGAGAACAGCAACAGAGTTCTCAAACAATCTCTCCCACTGACTGTGAAAACTGTAGTATACAGCAGAGGCAATGGAACCTCATCTGGCTGATTAGATATTTTGAATTGAGCCTGACAAGCTTGACACTGCATGTCTTTCGCCAGAACAGAAAGGACCTTTTGGTCAGTACTAATCTTCCAACAATGAGCCTGCCTCAGGCTGCAAAAGGGCTGCCTAGAAAACAGCACAGTACTGAGGGTGGAGGAGTCTTTAATACATGGAGTTCTATGTTCTGCCTACTTTCTGCAGCACTGGAGAGAATCCACAAGAGAAAAAGCTTGAACTCAGTTCTTCCCTTCTGTGGCAATGGAGATAGGCTGCTAGCTACCTATTCCTACACGCATATGGGAATGGGCATGATTAAGATCTTCCAAGGGTGCCTGTAGGAGACCAGTGCCATAGCCCAACCTCCACAGCAGTCCTGACGGTGGGTACAGCTGTGGAAGAGGGCACAAGAATTACAAACTGGCTGTAAAGTGTTGATGCTGATGAAATAGGGAGTTCAGAGTGGCCTTCAGCAACAGTCTGTCACTGCAGGTAGGCTCAGACCCATCAGCAGCTGGCCTAACTGGGGTAAATGAAGTCCTTGCTTTTTGATTTTGCTTTTTTATTTGCCAGTCAGCTGTACTCCTAGCTCCATAAGGAGCAAGAGAACTAGAAGGTTCTAGTCTTGTTTGAATTTATGTGCTGTCATCAGTGGAACTATACTACTGAGGTGCATAAAATGTTTCTGTTTGTGTGACTGTCACTCTCATTAACACTCTAGATGTTAAACTTGATAAAAATATTTCTCATTTTGCAGAGCTCAAGTGGATGGAATGGTGGTGTACTGAACTACACATTCTGTGAACTGATCTGTAAGTATTTAAGAAATTTGGAGTGCCTTCTGACATTAACCAGAATTAATATATTAGCTTCCAAGACTCTGTAAGGCAGGTTTCAGCCTGATAAACTACCAAATACATAGTCATCAATCAAGTGATATTTTACCAACCTTGCTGTATCTGTGAGACTCTCATTAGTGCCCAGATGTATGTCTTGTGTTGTAAGGAAGGAAGGTTGTCCTCCAAGTAGAGCAAACCCTACAGTGAGGACAAATAAAAAAAGAAATTAAACACCAGCAGATCTTATTTACAGCCAACATTCAAAAAATCTTCATGTAAAAGATATTTACAGCAATAAAAGTAAAACTCAGCAGGGTATCCAGATGTTTCAAGCACTTGAAGTCTGACAACAAGACACAAATAAATGCATTTTGGAATAAAACCACTCAAATGTGATGCTTTACTGAAATCCTTAGTCATGCGTTCTGATGTGTATTCATAGGAACAGCCATTCAAGCTGCAAGGCTACATATTGCTAAAAGCATCACTGTGGGTCTCTGTTAAGAGCTAGGTAATCCATTCATCATGCTGAATTTCTACTTCAAGGGGCTTAGCATTCTAGAAGGACCATCTGAGTGTGTAATTCCACATCCTTGCAAGAAGCTTCAAGTACTGTTACTCAGATAGAAAATCTGAAGTTTCTTTATACACTATAACAAACTTGAGCTTGGTCACAAATGATCAAGTGCCTTAAAAATTGTAATGTGACAGAGGGAAAAGGAAAGATCTCAGGCACTGCCAGCATCCCTCCACCCTGCAATAGGTAGGAATTTACACAGAGAGCTGAATAACTGGATCAATTAGGTCTGAAGAATTAAGTCCTGAACAGGAAACCACGGAAAGACCTGAGCATCATTTAAGAATATAAAACACTTCTGGGGAACTTAAAAGGTGTCTGGACAGTATTTTGGATAAAGACAAATTACATGCTAAGGACAACTCTCAGGCTTTGTCCTGCCTTATTTCCACTGCACCATCACTAGAAAGCTACCCCAAGCAACCAGCTGACACAGACAGGGAGGAAAACAGCTTTTCTTTCACCAACACTTGAGTCTCCTTGCTTTTTCCTGGTTTAAGCCTAAAGCCTCTGTCCACAGAATCTCAGTGTAAAGTCCATCGTGGCTACATACTGGGAAGATGGGGCTTGAGGGGGGCTGTTTTATGAACTGTAACAAATGATTTAGCATAAACCTAGCACTAGACACAGGTCCTACAACTGGAGATGTACAAAGAGTAGGATCTGAACTGGGCTCAGCTCCAGGTATCCCTGTAAAGCATATTCTGTGCACTGGGTAAGATGCATAAGAACAACTCCCTTCTAGTAGAGAAATTATCAGGGAGATCTTGCTGTGTTACTAATATCCATGGTAGAGGACATTTCTGGAGAATCTCGGTGTGGATAAACCAACCTTGTCGAGACAATGTGGTGGGGGAGTGAGTCTTTTATTGCGACAAAAATCTAGAAGGAAGCCCATTTTCTTTTCATTACCAGGAGGAAAAAGGCTGCATAAAGCACAGAAGAGCAAAGATACACCCCTCCCTCTACCAGTGTGATCTCTTGGAGGTGGTTGTAGCCATTAGATGGCACTGCAGACATCTCCAGGACTGCAGCTTCAACGTGAGGTTTGTACTGTCAAATAGATCCCACAGCTCCTCTTCAAACAAGGATTAAACTTGGAGTGAACACTAAAACCTTTCATCGATAAAGTCAAGCAGGCTGGGGCCCCACTACTGGGCTCCAGACACAGAGCAGCCCTTATTAACTTCCATTCCATGTGGGCAGCAGGGTTGAAGTGGGGTCTTTCACTTGCATCAGTTCAGCAAGTCTCCAGATATTAAAATCCAATACATAAAAATAATACTAGCAAGTCATTGGCCTTTGTCTGCCTCAATTTCCTTAAAACTCAGATTGAAATTAACAATGTTCCAGCACTCACCTGAAGGGCAAATCTCTGCTCCATTCCAGCCAGTGTAGACCTATTTTATTGAATGGGGCTGATTTTACCTTCCCTTTGTCATCATTAAGGATTGCCCAAAATCTTAGCAAGATTAGAGTCAGACACAGCAAACTTTTAGGAATGAAGCATTGCTTATTCTACTATTTCTTTTTGCTGTTAGAAAAGCACTATGTGTTTGCTGGTTGCCTTGCCCTCACTGGTTATTCAGAAACGTTTTTGTATTAAGGAAGGAAAAATGTTTAGGTTTCCTCAAATACTTTCACCTCTTCTCTGCTCAGACACAAACATTGTATTTATGGGAATGTATGCAAACTGTTGCCTAGACATGACAGCCTATCTATTCAATGCAAGTTTTTAAGGAGGAAATCTTTACAAGGATTTTATCCTCAAGGATGAAATCTCGTTTGTCATAACTTTTGCCATCCAGCTTCTTGTGGGTTTTTTCAAAGTCATTTATAATTATGTGAGTGATTTATCTCCCCACGTTACACACAATACAACAACTCTGCATTTTAGGCAGCTAAATACATGTATCTGGTTGATGTTTCACAGTACAAGCAGGCTCCCATGGACACGTTCTGTTTTCTATAAAAGATGCTCAGGTAGAAGAGGAATTTGGCCATTTATTCAGAATTGCCAGACGCCATGCAGCCCGGTCAGAGCTACCACCTGGAGCCTGTGTATATAGCAGACTCCTAATGTGTTGGGCTTTTTGCTTTTGAACTGGCCATCTGTGCAGGGCCTGGGAACATATTTCCATCCAAAACTTTCCATCTGGAAATACAGGAGCTCTGTGCTCTAGCCTTGTATATAGCTGCAGAGACAGAATCTTTGTTTCAGATTCTTTCATCCTGACTACTAGTAGAAAGAAAAAAGTGGTGGCTTTTGAAGATATGCAGGCACCAATTCAGCAAATACACACATGCTGGAGTGCCATGTTAAAGTGGAAGATCTAATCCTCCCTGTTGTCACAAGCTGGTCATATCTGAAGCCACATGCTAAGTGTTTATGTGAATATTGGTATCTTCAGCAAACTGTATTAAATGGTCATACTACAGAGCCAGAATAGGTTATTATCCCATGACCATACTTCTCACTACTGTTAGTTTCCAAAAAAGGACAGTTTCATGTCTCAGGCTGTGGAACATTATTGAGCTCGCTCTTTCACATAGAACACAAGTGCTGGAGTAGTATAGGCATAGGTAAATCTTCATTCTAGACCACCCCTGCTACATTGTGGGGCCAAAATGAATCCTCCAGTCCACACGCTGGATACACAGCTGTGGAGCTGCCCCACCTTCACCAGAAGACATTCACAGCCATCTTTTTAAACTCAAAAGAAGGATCCTTTTTTATACTGAAAGGCATCTGGATTTGTATTTAATAGTTTCATCACTGCCTGGACTTAAAATGTGTGAAGTATTTTTCTGTTTAGACTGATACAAAGAACTCTTCTAGGCAGCAATTACAGGAATATTCCTAAAACAGAAGCCTAAAAACTGATAAGCAGCTTTTTAAAGATACCCCTCTATGTGGAGAATAAGCTAAAAGAGTATTCTTGCCCCTTCTGTGTCATGGCCAAGCTAGATAATACTGGTCATTCCAACAAAACCACACCCTGTATTCCTGCCATGTAATACCATCCCCACTACATTAGAACATACAAAGTGATGCAATTATTTCTGTGACTGTATACAGTATTCTTCAGGCATGGACGTCACGTTCCTCTCACTCTGCTGGGTAGAGGGAGAGTTGGGGGTAGTTCCACTAAAGCCAGTGGAAGTGAACCAGTAAAGCTGTTAAGACCTTGTACATTCCAGTGCAAAACAAAAGAAGATATACAGAGCTTTTCTGCCTGTATTGTTTCCTCTCCATTTTTACCCTGTGACGTATTTTCTGCATTCAGTGTCTGTGAAATGGTTTGATTTGTTTATGACTTGTTCACTAAAATGTAACTGCAACTGGATATTTTAGGGGTAACAGTGATAATCAGAACACTTTACACCAAAGTTATAACAAAACCAGGGCATTCACCTTTACATCATGCCTGAGGATGTTTATCTTAAAAGTAATATATGAAATGAGCAATACCCTTGTTTTCAAAAAATACACAAGATTTTACGCAGAATGGGTATGGGATTGTGACTGCAAACAGATGACACTTTCCACTATAATAGCAAAGATGTCACATTTTTCTATATAACAGCCAGTGATAGCAATAAATCTAGTAGGCTCCACAAAACTGGATTTACTTTGCCAAATACTCTATGGAAGTTACTTGTAGTTCTTCGTTAAACTTACAATACCATTACACTTAGAAACTGTAAAATAATATGGGTTTCAGAAAAATGCATGAGAACAAGATTCTATCTGTTCAAGAGAGTAAAGGGGCAATGAATTATACTACAAGAAGCTGCACATTATTCAGTATAGTGGCAATGTCATCAGGATAAAGAGCTTGGAGGTATAATATGTTGGAAAAGCCACAAACATCAACTTTTCTCTTACAATGCATTACAAATTCATGTTTTTATCCTCTTTGATCAACCTTGGCAATTGGGAGAAGTACTCAAAGACTGGAAGAAGGCAAATGTCACCCCTATCTTCAAGAAGGCAAGAAGGGGGACCCAGAAAATTACAGGTCAGTCAGCCTCACCTTGATTCCTGGAAAGGTGATGGAGCAGCTAATCTGGACACCACTTCCAGGCAGATTAAGGAGAAGAAAATCATTGGGATTAATCAGCATGTCTTCACCAAGGGGGAGTCATGCTTGACCAACTTGATAAACTTCTATGATGAAATGATTGGCCAGGTAGATTAGTGAAGAGCAGTGAGTATTATCTTCCTGAACTTTGTTATGACCCTTGACACTGCCTCCCATAGCAATCTCTCAGGCACTGCACAGAACAGATTTTCTAATCAGTGCTTTCCAAATCTCTACTCCTTCAAAATGAAACCCATTGATTTTCATTTAGTTGTTCCTGAGAGTTGTGAAGTTTGTTTAGATTAATCTGATCACCAGAACCTTGTCAGAAGGTATCAGAACCTCTTTCAAGATGCTGAAGGTGCAACGGATGGAAATGCTGTTTGAGATGACTCAGGTATCTTACAAATAAACACTTCAATACACTTCAATGTCCACTTTCACTGGACATTAGAAAACTGGTATTAAATTAGCTTACTTAACTAAAAGGAACACATGTGATCCCACATTTGTTTTGAGTTAGAAATTCCAAGGGAGAAGTCATATATGTTAAAAAGCAGCTGAAATGTATAGAGTTTCTGTGGACAGAAAAAACTTGAGTTTGTCTTTGAAAAAAAATCTTAGGCTTAGGGGACTTGGGGCCAATTAACTGAAGGTGTGAAGTTCATGCACAGAATTTAAACTGCTTTAAACTCCCTTGTGGAAGCTCGGAAATAAATTTTGGTTATTTCACTGGAGCTTAATCCCTCTTGAATGAATTTATGTGCATTAACTCCCATCCTTAAGATAATTCGTTTGAACCTTCCTGAGCTTCCCCCTTGCATAAGCCTTCAGAAGCCAAGGACTAAACTGTGCTTCCCTCTCAATACAGAAGTATGAAGGATAAACAGATTCGCAGAATTTGTCATTACTTGCCTATGTACCGGTATGGCAAGCAAATAGAAATTGGACAAAACCCTCTGGAATTAAAAGGGGGGAGGTCTTCACAGACAGGGAATGAACAAGAGGAAGCCATTCGTTTTTTCCCCTAATTTATATCAAGGCATTACTGTGATTCCCAGCTCAAACACATACTCTGAAATGTGACAAAGGTAATGCATACCACATAAGAAAAATATTTATTAGAGCTTGCACAGAATTAAATTTGTGATGCTTACTAAAATAGATGTTAGGAAATGTATATCTTGCCAGCACAACTAGGAGCTTATTCCAGAAATTCTTACTTCTGCCTGTTAATTTATTTCTCATCTATCTATGTTTCGGAATGATGTGGTGAAATTTCACTGACTTAAGCAACATGCTTGTTACATTAATATGCAAGGTGAAACAAAATCAGCTACCATTCTTTTCTTATTTTTGCTTTTAGACTTTGGGTTTCCCCTGAGTAGAAACCGCTAAATACAGAATTACGCAGTGTTTTCAGTACATACTCACAGTATACCATTTCGTATAAAATCTGACGGTGCCAATGCTCGGATGTACCTGTTTCTGCAGATAATCTTGTTCTTGTGCTTCTCTTCTCAAAAATCATGGCCAAAGATTTTCCTTGCATCAGAGGCAAATACTGAAACATGAAAATTGAAGGCATTTCAATTTTATACTCATACACACTTTACAGTGTGAAATGCTTCTTTCACATTTTATTTCAGTATAGAAAAGTTACACAGAGGGTTTTTTTAACCATAGCTGTGTTTTCCTGCCCTTCAAGGAACTTACTATCAGCGGAAAGGTTAAAGGGAAAGAAGTAATTCTACAGCAAAAGCAATTGCATTTTGGCACTCAGTTTGAACTGGCATTAAGGAGAACTTTGGTACTAATTTAATCCCCTGCAGGGAAGTGTCTTCCATTTTCCTACATTTAGTTCTGCACGTACACCATGTGTCAATGGATGGGGTTAGCCAACAACAAGGAGTTAGCTGTGCAAAGCTGTTTAACCTTTTCACTTGCCAAGTCCTCTGAAGTATTTAAAGAATATTTCTGTACAATTTACACAAAGCCTTTGTGATTTTTTTAAATTGATTTACAGTTAATTAAAGCACTTTACCTCTCCTTTGTGATTTATCCTTTGTTTCAAATCTGCGGCCATCCAAAGCAAATACTTCAGCTCATCTGCTGTATAGTCCTGTAGAGTAAGGAGGTTACGACCTTTCAGATGAACATTAATTTGAGTTGGTGGCCCATACCTGTCTCAAAAGAGCAAAAAATACACACTTTTTGTTATTCAATACTGAATTGTACTCATGTTAAAGCCAATGAGCAAGAAGAGTAAAAAAATCAACAAAAAGGCCATGTGCTCTGGTCCTCCTCTTACCACACAAGAGAAGTTCTGGCCACAAGAGAAGTATAGTGCCATGTGCACTGTATTTATTTGGTGTATTCTGGCTGCCAGCCAGATTTAGGACTTCAGAATCATATTGGCATTGGATATTGATAATCACCCATGGAAGTGACATGATCAAATTTCCTCTAGCTTAAGCATGATATGTTAATGAAAGTCACATCCAAGCCCTGTCTTGTTCATTGGTCTTTACACTATTGAGAAGAGGACTGAGAAATATCCACTACTAATTTCTGCACTGGCAGATAGTGAAGCAGTAAAATCGGTTACCCAGAGAGGATTTGGAATTACCATCCTTGGAGATTTTCAAGACATAGCTAAGAAAAGACATATAGCAGAAAGTTAGATTAGAAGTCTGCTCCTGACCATTGTGTTCCCATGAGGATTCTGTTTTATTGCTATGACCTTCAAGAAATGTATTCCCTTCCCTGTTGCCCACGTCCTCTGAAAGAGAGGCAGTAGTGGACAAATAAATTCCAGAGAAGTAGCATGAGACAACATACCAAAGTTAAAATGTAACAGGCAGAACTGCAAGGTCAAGCAGTTGCCTTACTCCTTTCTGAGGAGGGACAGCAATTACTTTGGCCTATTAAAACAGGCTGATAGATACTAGGTTATCCTGCAGTATCAGCTACAGCATGCTGAACTTGTAATACTCATAGACAGTGGTGATAGCTTATGCCAACATTATGATATAATGCTGAAACCCCCTAAAAATAACAAACAACATTATGTAGGGAGCTTAACAAATTGGATGACTTTATTGGAAAACCAGATTTCCTGCAGTTGTTTTACAAACTTGCTTTTCTAACATTTCTGCTTACCAGAGAAAGTTCCCATCAACTGCCACAGTGAAAATCCAAAATCCATTAAAAAATTATTACCCAGGCTTCAGGACCACTTTAAAACTGTAGCAAACAAATCACAGAACTCAGAAAACATTTGATTTTCATCTGATGCAATGTAGAAATAATAAATAAAAATGCCTTCTTGCATATTAGGATTCCTACGAATGTGAAATTCACATGTATTGTTTTCTAGCACTAATCATTTGTTACATAACACAGTTAATGTTCTTGATGACACTGACATGAAAACATAGGAAGATATGGAATTAAGTTTAGGCTGATTCTGGAGATGTGACAAGCATGAGAAGCAGCTCACTGAAACACTGTGATAAAAGTACTTTTCTTCGGGGACAGGCAATAGGCATGTCTATGCAGCTGAAGAAGGAACCCAAAGTCAGGTCACAGAGCCAGGTCTACATGGTTAACTTTGAACCTCATATCACATCATGCTTTTCCTGCACGTCTCCAGTGTATACAAAGACAAAAAAATACCAAAGCGGAGATTCACCTTGTAGCTCCAAGGAGAGAATTTCCCTCCCAGTGCTGGCCATGACAGTTGTTTAAATGCATAAGAATATCCTGTACTTTATTCGGGTAGTTATTTATTGATAACAGTATCTACAGAGTACAATTAGCAGCACTTCACAAACATTAAAAGGGAAAATCCTCCCATCTCTGGAAGATTCAGAGCTTGTTGCCTTGAGAGGCAAAAGGGCACTAAAAATGCAGAAAAAAACATGCCTTTTTCTGAAAAAACTCACTCCTTCATAGGATTAATCTAGTTTTGTCTCCGGGTTTCTAATTAAATGTCACTGAACACCAGACAAAACTAAATGATATGCTTACCAAAACTGTTGCAGCCGCATTTTGCTGGTCGCTGTTAGTTTTGCAGCACTGAAGAAGTTCTTCACATTAAACAGCATCTTCTGTTTGTGTTAGACTTCTCCCAGTCCCACAGTAAGAGAAGCAAAGGCGTATGAAGCAGAGAGCGAGCTGCGCTGCTGTGTGGGTGAGGGAAAACCAAGAACCAAAGTCTTTGCTTTGCTTCACTCAGCCAGGGCTGGAGCGGGCTGACACTGAAGCTTTTCCTTGGTCAAACTCTACAGATAGAGATTTCTCACAGGGCCCATTGCGCCACTCGCAATCTGTGCTCTTTTCTGTGGGCTCATCTTATCCTACCTGTGTCAATAACATTTTGCAGTAATTTCGTGTACGTTAAATATTTGTACAGGAGCACGTGCTAGTACAAAAAGAGCAAAAGAAGATTTGTCAGGGTGCAGCACAAGTAGGGTGGTTCCTCTGGGGACAGGACCATTACTGTGGGGGCTCCCTGGCCTTAACATGGCCTGTGCAGGGACTGATGGCCCCACACTGAGACGAAACTGGGGTCCTGGGCCCACAGGTGTGGGGCTGGGCAGGGCTATCAAGGCTTACTCATGACCTCAGGGCCCTGACAAAGTGGAGAGGGTCTACATTAAAAATGTGTATTTTCCTGTGGTGTTTTTTGAACCAAGTTTTCAATTGTGCTGTGGCAGCATTAAACAGCTGTCAGTACGTCCCAGAAACCTACCTATTGGAACCTTCATAACTCTTTATATTAAATTGCTTGCTGTATAATCTGACATTGGTCAACTTCTAAATACTAAAGTGATTTCATTTAAATTTCTACCTTTGAATATAATTATCAGATAAGATTTTATGCCACCTGCACTGTAGGTGGTTTGAAATATGACCAGCACTTTCTCATAGTAATGAGAAAGTGTAAGGACCTCTGTGTAAGGAGAAGCATACTTGTGTAAATCAAGGTGATGGCACATCTCTCAGAGAAGTCAATATGTTGAAATTGCAGTATGAGGATCATATAACTAAAATACAGACTCTCTCTTCCCCAGAGAGACTGCCATGAAAAAGCCATGCAGGCGGATAACTCTTGGTGGGATTTGTTCAGGACCCCTCATGCCAAACCATTTTCCATGCTTGGAAAAGGCAGCACTTACCAGCCTTTGCCATTTATACTGCACTGAGTGGTGGCCAGTGAAGACTTCCAGGAGCTCAGCATCCAGTCACTCATAGACACTGCTGGTAACTCTGTCCTTTTCCAGTCATTCATTGTTCAAAGACCTCCTTACCAGGTCCGCCATCATACCAGCAGAGATACATTTGTGCCACTTTGCGAGGTGGCTCCTATTTCTCACAGATGTTGATCCTCAAATAGTATTCCACAGTCATAGAAACCAAAATCCTGCTGCAGACGCCTCCCCATTAATCTTCCCCAGCTTTTTATAACTCATTTATATTATTGGCAACCACAGTGGCTTGTTAACTACAATCTCAGTCATCACTTTGTAGAACAATGTTTATTCAGTTTTATTTTGAACAGCGTTTGCTGGATATCCCCTCGCTCCAGACTTAGGACGAACACTTAGGGCAGAAAGCATCAGAGGGGTATTGGGGTTCAAAGAGATGAAATCCCAGCTTCATGTAGAGATTTCATCCCTTTTGAAAATGTGGTCACCCTTCTTTCTGTGAACTTACATGGACACCTCATGTTAGACACCAACAACTGTATTGATTAAACTCTGCATAAACAAGGCTTAAATTGGTTGTCCAGGTTGCCAGCTGCAGCCTCTGTTGCAGTACATCATTTAGAAAGCAAGACCTTCTTCTGTCAGTGTATCTGGAACACACAGGAATAGCAAGAAATGGAATCCATAAATGACCATGGATTTTGGGGAGGGGACAGAAAAGCTCAGTTGGGAGTTTAGAACTGTACATTAAGTATAAAATCAAGAATGGTTGGGTTGGAAGGGACCTTAAAGATCGTCTAGTTCCAAACCCCCTGCCATGGACAGGGACACCTTCCAATACTCCAGGTAGTTAAAAGGCTGCAAAGCCCCTGGACCTATGCCGGTGGCGTCTGTACAACTGCCATCACCAAAGCGTCCCTGGCTGGGTGGATGATTGAACGTCTTCTTGTGCACCCGATCAGAAGACTTTACACAGACATCCTAGTGAGAGCTCACCAAATAGAGGGGACTTGTCTTTTAGGGCAGCAGAATCCCTGTGGTGGCAAAGTTTCCCAGCTACATTCTGCTCACCCGGCAGCAGCAGGGCAGCCCCTCCGCACACCCAGCAGAGCAAGGGAGCCTGGCTTGGCGCGGCTCCGGTGCGAAAAGGCTGTTCGGGAGCCAGAGGCAGGGGCACCGCAGCGATGCCCAGGCACGCAGGGACAGTGCCAGGAAAGCAAAGCTCTGCTGGAGATGCTACTCTCAAGGGGCCTTCAGGGGAGGTGATTCGTCCCTCCTCTCAGCACCCTGGCGTGCTGAGGCCGGTTTGTGCTCCCCGTACACCCAGGGAGCGGGGACAAACCCCCGGCAGCGCCGGGGGATATTAAGATGTCGGGAACAGCAAG